ACAATTAATAGGAACCAGTACACATGGAATCCAATAACGGTAAATAGTGGGCTCATCACAAGGCTCATAACTACACCCTTAAAGCATCAATGGTGGAAGAAACAAGAAAGTCCAATAAAAATTCCATTCGATAGAGGAAAGTATTATAAGTTGCCCGTTTCAAGTGATGTCACAGATCGAAGACAATGAATCCCTTAAAAGATTCGAGGTCGAATCATTTTTCAAGAAGGGGAGGATGATGCGGCCCAACATAATGAATATCCATTAAGAGTACAAATTGGGCCAATCACAAGATCCAAGGCCCAAATCAGCTTTATTATTTGTGGTCATCATATTTTAAATTGTTTGGAATTGAAGAGAAAACACTAGTTTGTATTTAGAAAGGATTCCTTAAATCCCTTTTTAAATATGACTATATTTACTTTCTTTCTAGATTAGGTTTAGGACTCTTTTTTTTCATTGTATTTAGGATTACAATGCTGCCCTATACCTATAAATAGGGCACATCCATATCAATTTTAGAAAAGGCTTTAATTCAATAAAATTCTTAAGTTTTTCTTTACACTTGTGTAAAAAACCTTATGGCTAATTGTGGACTCAATTAGTGGCTAGTCGTGGACTCGACTAGCAAATTGATTCGTGGACTCGAATCAATCTTACTTTCTTCAACCTTAGATTTAGGTTCGTGGACTCGTTCTTGAATCGAAGGAAACTAGATCCGACTCTAGTTGATTGAAGATTGCAACATCGAGGTACTTGAAGCTACATGGGATTCTCCAAAGTCTTTGAGGATTCGGGAATAAGTGTTTCTCATGAGGTTTAAGGTATTTTGATCCATCTCTATCTTTACATTGAGAGAAATCTTGGGACAATACTCCATCTTATTTGAATCTTGGACTAGGTTCATATCAATTTGGTATTCAGAGCCTTGGTTTATCTCATTATCATTAGAAATTTGGTTTTTTTTTGTTCCCTAGGTTTATCTCATTATCATTAGAAATTTGGTTTTTTTTTTGTTCCCTAGGTTTATCTCGTTCTTATCTTACATACTACTTTTTTTTTTCGTGTCTTATTCATTAAAAACCGCACAAAAAAAATTCCTTTGCATTCATGATTATTTTCTTGAATCTTGATACATGTTTTTTAGTTTCTTGAAAACCTATCCCGAAAGAGTTTTTCTTTTTTCCTATCCAATATCAACGATACCTCACACCTCCTAAGCACCATATTACCAAAAATTCAGTCAAGAAAACAATCCCATCTCACCCTTACCTATATCGGAGCGCATTTACGCGCAATCATGTCGCAATCACACCCTGTCCAAATTTCCGCATTTTGTGACCCGTCTCAAAGAATGACCTATATCTTGATATCCACTGGTTATTTTTATCTGAAATTTTGTTATGTTGTATATCTCGTCTGGGGCGTTCTATTGATATATTATACACTTACTAATTCCTTACGGTCATTGAAATATTGATCTTCGAATTAAGGGCAGCGTTTCTATTTTTCTGGGTGATTCTTGAAATTCTTGATTCTGTTTTGAAGGGGTTGTGTGGATCCTCTTGGTCTGAAATTTTTGTTGATATTTACTGTAGTTATTTACACCTTACTCTCAAAGGCTTGTGAAGTTTTCCAAGGTACGTTTTCTTGAAATTTGAGGTTGAATCCATATCAACTTGAATTCCGGACTAGAATTTTTCTTTTCGGAAAAAGACTTGTGAGAGTATCTGCCACCTTGAGCGATACACGAGTGGAGTGTGTGTTTGTAAGAGTGTGTAGAGCACCCCCAGAGCCATATAATCCACCTCTTACCTGTGAGCTGAGAATAGAGAGGGAGCGAGCCAACTTTTTGGTTTCACTAACATGAATACTCACATATCTTCTTGTTTTTAGATTTTGTTTCTCATCTACAGATGGCTGAAGAGGTTCCAAACACACGTAAGAGATTAGAGCAGAAAATAGATGCTCTAGCCTTTGCTATGGAAGGTTTAAGCACTCGAATGACTAATCTAGAACAACACCCTAAGCGAGTGCAACTGCCACTCTATACTAGGGGAAACATTCATGGAAAGGGATGCATTATCGTTATCAATTCGGATCATTGTATGAATTTAGCTAGCGCAGCCATGGTGGACTACCTTAAGTTACCTCTTATCAATCACCCCCAACCATACAATCTTATTGATTCAGGGGATGTGAGAGTGTGACAATATATTCCTTTTTGTATTGGCAAGTATTATGATGAGGTTCTATGTGATATTGGGACAATATAATTGTACTCTTATGCAATCTAGTGCAACAATATTTTTTTTTTTGAATGTTACTGGCTCTATTACATTGTAGTATCTGTTCATATACTTTTTCAACCTACTGAAACACAAAGAACCAAATAACACCCGCCTCCACTGAGGCTTGAACTCATAACCTTCCAAATGGAAGTCCAACCCGGGTACCATTAGACCACATAGTCCTGGTATCTAGTGCAACAATATATTCATACTCTTATGCAATCTAGTGCAACAATATATTCATACTCGTATGCAATCTCGTGCAACAATATACTCATGCTCATGTGCAATCTAGTGCAATAATATATTCATACTATTATGCAATCTCGTGCAACAATATACTCATGCTCATGTGCAATCTAGTGCAATAATATAATTGTACACTCATATCTAAATTAGAATACTTTCTATGGAGATTTCTTTGTTACTTTCTCGAGTCTCTCTTGACTCTCTTTCTTTCTCTCGAGTCATTATTGACTCTCATACTTGAGTCTCTGTTGACTCTCTTTCTTGAGTCTCTGTTGACTCTCTTTCTTTCTCTTATACTCGTAGACGGCTTAGGGTTTCACAGAAGTGTGACTTACCCCATCGGGAACGGCATAATTCCAACCCAATATCTCCTACCGTCTACGGAACCAATCTCGTGCTTCAAACTCTGTGGAATCAGGTATCGAACTATTAGTGTGCACCCCCCCCTAACCAGGATTCCAAGCCCGACGGGAAGTTTCCAACCTTGTAACGTGGGAATACGCCGCGTTATATATACTAGGACCGTAATGTCCATAAATATCTCCCGAGAGGAACATAGTCCAAACGGTATCCTCCAAAACCTCACTGATATAGATAATACATAAATATATCTCTCATGCATCAAACTCATGCATGCAACAATTCTACTACTTCTCAATGCATCAAAGAGTGATATACCACACGCTTATGGTTTTTGAAAGTATTCTTGGACTCACGTTGGCCCCTTATGCATTTTTGAAATATGACTCATGTGAAATGTCAAAAATGCTCTATATCATGCTTCTAATTCATGTATTAACTAACATGAAGAAATCAAAAGTATATCATCATGCTCGGTTTGCAACATAGCAATTTCTATACATTTCACTCAACAAATATGCTTCTATTCTCATTGATCAAATAATACAATTTAATCATACTTTCATAATAAATCAAATTCTCAAAGGATTATGCTTCTATATTCAATAGAAATCTTATCTGATCACAAAATCAACAATTTCTCAAACACGGAGAACTTAGCAAAATATGCACTGTGTAACAATTCTTCACATAATCCTTCATAACATGCTTGTTTTTAATCCAAATTCGACGAAATCAAAGCCAAAATGTGCGTCGAGACGATCCCGAAGAGTCGAGCCACAAGGGCCCGTAACACTCGGTCCGAAACGACACGTAGCTGAGCCACAAGGGCCCGGCCAGTGCAAAAAAATCCTTCACAGACAATACTCAGGGACCTGGGGCGGGACCCTTCATAGTCCGCCCGTGGAGTCCCGTTGATGCGCCGGGACTAGGCAACGGCCCTCCTCTAGGGCCTTGCCCTAGTCCCGTGCCACCACGGCTCTAGCCGGCGGCCCTTCTGATGGGCCGCGGCTAGGGCCGCCACTCTGATCTGGTGCACACTGTGTTGTGCACCAGATGTGATTTTACCTGCAAAAACACATCCAAACAATTCCAAAACAATCTCAACAACTCACAAACACATACTAGATCACTTCTAAGCATAAACACATCAAAAGCTCATAGTTTCTACTCATTTCTACTCAAAACTAGGCTTCACAGAGCCAAAACTAAAGAGGAATCCATGGGGTTATACCTCTTGTAGTCTAGTCTTCTTACTTGGATCTCTTCTTCCTCTTGACCTAGCTTGAGCCTCCTTCACCACCTACACTTCCCAACACACCTTCTATCCTTAGCCTAGAACCTCAAAGACTAAAGAAAACTAGAAGAGAAAAGAGGCTAGAATGAAGGATGAACAAGCTTACTAGGTTGTTGTTTCTCTCCTTGTTGTTGGCAGCCAAAAAATATGAGGAAGAGGCAAAGAATGAGATCAGGAAAATGAGATGGAATAAGAGGGTTTATATAGGCTTCAAAACCCTAGGATGATTCACAATGATTGGTTGAGGATAAAGGGGTAATTTCCCAAGCTAAAAGATGATTCGATAAGGGATTTTGGATGTCTTGTGGTCCACCATGTAACATGAACCATGGGCTAGAAATGTTATTTTTTATTACTTTTGGGTTGAAAGTGAATTTTCCCAAAAGCTATATGGATGAACACTTGTTCAAAATTCCCTTTTGAATTCTCCCGGTCTCACTCAGATAATATTCTCGATTTAAATCTTGGTACGCAAAGTATCCGAAAACTTAGGGATTTTTTAATAGACTTTATTTCTTCGGTGTCGAATTAATTTCAAAATGCTATAAAATTATTTTATTCAATCACCGATTGATCGCCAAAAAAAAAAAAAAAAAAAAAAAAAAAAAAAAAAGCTACTTTGGAATTTCTTAATACTGGATTTATAAAATGAAATTTTGGGTTGTTACAACTCCCCTTGCCCCTAGATGTCATGCAATTTGGTCTTTTGATTAAGGAAATGTGGCTCAAATTTGTCATTTAATGAGTGTAGGGTGGGGGTTGATTAGGTCGGTGGTAAGTAGGGTTTGAAATTTTGAGTATACCTTGGTTTCCCAATCCCGAGCTTGAAGCTCCACGCGTGACCAACATGGTCTCAATTGCCGCCACTCTCTTGTCCAATGAGCTCGTCGCGAGAATCAAGGACGAGAATCCCTCATCCATGATCCGATTCAGCCTCATGAGTTGCGCGAGGATGTGCTCATTGGTGGACCTCTCGTCTCAGTCCTCCGCGTTTCCCCTTCCTTGTGCGGGTTCAGGTTGGCTAGGCTCGCTTTCTTCTTCTTGCTCCTCCTGTTCTTCACTTTCTTGCATTGCCCATCTCATTTTCTTGTTGGAGATATCCAACTGATCCACTAACATCCGTCGTTCTTCTGGGGATTTCAGGCAAACCTCCTCGAGGGTGATGTACTGTCCCTCTCCGACATGGTAGATGTCGTTGCGGCGGAGGTTTTGGGCATTGAAAACCATTCCACTCATGGGCCTAGCTTCAGTCCGGCTTAGGTCCACTCCCTTTCTTTCCATGATCCAACATAGGATCATCCCGTAGGGTAAGCTGAGCCGGTTGCTAGATTTGCAGAATTCCAGGTGCTTCAACGTAAGGGCGGGTAAATTGAACTTGACCTTATGCTTAAGGAAGTAAGCAAAGGTGCATTCCAAGCTTCCCACGTCTTTGCTCTTGTTGTTAGTGGGCAACAAGCTGTCGGACACAATCATAACTAGCAGTTTCTGCTCGGCGGTTAGCAATTTCTTGATTGGCCTTGTGGTCGAAGTAAAACCGCCTTCTCTCCCCAACAAATACCCGAGGTAATCCTTGTACCCCGTGCCTCGGGTACTGACCCATGCCTTTCGGTCATAGTCTGACACACCCGTGGCGGTCAATTTCAGGAGTTTAGTCAAGCAGCCCTCGGAGAGCACTATCTCCAACTTGTCCCCACGTTTGGTAGCTACCAAGTGGCAATAAAATTCCTTAACCAACTCGGGATACGTATCCCCTTTAATTGTGAGGTAGGTATCCAAAAGGCCTTGGAATCTAAGCATATCAACCAACTCTGGAGAGAATTGGTCGGGTTCAAGCACTTTACCTCCGATCACCGTGTAGTTGGCGTCATTCCATTCCGGGGCTCGGGAATTGGTGGGCTTCTTTGGCATCGTAGGATTTTTAAGAGGTGGCTACGGTGCGGGGTCGTTTTCCGGATAACTTTCCGGCAAGGTTTTTTTTTTTTTCCGGCGAGCTTAGCGAGGGGGTGACGCGACGTCGACGGTGGGGTCCGGATGTTGTGCCGGTCGGTGGAGTGGCGGTGGCGTGACGCCCGGCTTTAGCTGCAATGGGGCGGCGTCTCTTGCGGTTGGCGTGACGCAACGGTGGTGGCGTTCTGCCCAGGTGGCCGGCGTCGTGGTGGGGAGCGGAGGCAGCGGATCTCCGGCGGGCGTTGGGCGGGCGGTCGCTGGGTGGTCGATGGTGGCGCGGCGACAGGAGGCTGGGGACTTTGGGTGGTGTGCGGCGGCGTTTTGTCGAGAGAGGAGGGAGAGGGGGAGAGAGAGATAGAGAGAGTGGGAGGAAGAAGAAGAAGAAGGAAGAAGGGTTTTTGATTTGGGGATTTTGGGCTTTAGGGATTTGGAGGGGGTTTAAGAAGGTTGGCTTCCCTTGAGGTTTTAAGAAACACTTGTGGTCAAGTGGTTAAGTGCTTGGTCTTGTATTCTACTAAAAGGTAGTTTACAAGGGTTCGTAGTTTATCCTAGACAGAATTCGACTTCCGGATTCTCTTCCAGTTGATTCGTGGGGTCTTTGTCTCCTAGAGCTACGTTTTCTACGTCGATCCCAGCTTCGGTTTCGAGGTCAGCCTGGGTGCGGCTAATGACGAATACCTTTCCGGGTGCCCCGTAATTCCCCCGATTGTTTGCGTTTCCTTGTTGGGTCATGACCGTAGGTTTTGCGCTTGGGGGTTGAGTGCACTGGAAGGCCTTATGTCTTTCTCCTCCGCAGTTGAAGCATCGTAAGGCGTTTCCAAGGCAGTCCTTGCCCCTATGGTCCTTATTGCTTTTTCTGCAAAAGAATTGCCTTGCGTTGGTTTCGTTGTACCTCATGGATGATCCTTGATTAGGTGGGTTGACCGTCCTTGTGTTAGAGTCTTTCCTTGCTCTTTTCACAGTCGGTCTCCCACTTCCGGTATTCCTCTTGCGGATTTGTTCTTGAACTCCTCGTTGTAGAAGTTGGATTCGGTAAAGATTGGCGGCATTGGTGTAAGCCTCGTTAAAGGTCCTGGGCTTACTTACTATTAGAGCCTTTTGAGCTTCGAAGTTGAGGCCCGTAAAAAACTTCTCTATTTTGGTCGTCTCTGTGGGCACCAATTTAGGTGCAAAACTAACTAGTTCAAGGAATCGTTTGTGGTATTCTATGACCGTGGCCATCCCCTGTTTCAGGTGGAGGAATTCTTCGTACATGGCTGCCCTTATGTGTGTGGGGTAGAACCGTCCCCGTAGTCATGCCTTTAGGAATTCACAGTTGAATCCCGGTTCTTGCCTATACGCAGGTCCTTCGTGAATCCACTAAAGATCGGCTTCGTGTCCGAAGTAGAATGAGGCTAATCCAACACGGCGTCCCTCCGGGCATTCTACTACCTCGAAGATCTTGTCGAATGTCCGGATCCATTCTTCGAGGGTCGTGGGGTCTTCTTCCCCTGAGAAGATAGGCGGGCGATGGCTCGAGACTTGGCGAGCTATATCTGAGTTTCCGTTTGGCGGTGGTGGTCGATTGTTGTTATGGAGGATGGCATTGCTTAGCGTCTGGGCGACCTGAGTCAGTTGTTGTAGATTCTGAGTTAACGAATCGTGGACAGAAGGCTCGGGGGTTCTCGACTGACTCCTTGTTGGTACCATTCCGGTGTCTACAGGGTCAACACCGATTGCAACGGTAAGTTAGGGACTTGTATCCTTACCTTGATGTCATAGTTTTATGGGGGCCTTTAAGCTAAGTACAGAATACATTAAGGGAGTAGTTAAGTAGATAATGTTAGATAAACTCACAGCCTCACCGCGTGTCCTAGATTTCCTAGATCCTAAATATTTAAGCACCTAGAGTTCAAGTCTTATATCCTAAAGTTCTTTCCTAAGTATCTCAAACACTTAGAATTCAACCCTAATGATATAAACCTAGTCCAAGGTTCAAATAAAGATGGAATATTGTCCCAAGAATGCTCTCAAAAGTAAAGATAGAGATGGATCAAAATACCTTAGACCTCACGAGAAACCCTTTGTCCTGAATCCTCAAAGACTTAGAAGAATCCCATTGTAGCTTCAAGTACCTCGATGATGCAATCTTCAATCAACTAGAGTCGGATCTAGTTTCCTTCGATTCAAGAACGAGTCCACGAACCTAAATCTAAGGTTGAAGAAAGGAAGATTGATTCGAGTCCACGAATCAATTTGCTAGTCGAGTCCACGACTAGCACTAATTGAGTCCACAATTAGCCATAAGGTTTCTTACACAAGTGTAAAGAAAAACTTAAGAATTTTATTGAATGAAAGCCCTCTAAAACTGATATGGATGTGCCCTATTTATAGGTATAGGGCAGCATTGTAATCCTAAATACAATGGGAAAAAGAGTCCTAAACCAAATCTAGGAAGCAAGTAATTAAATATAGTCCTATTTAGAAAGGTATTTAAGGAATCCTTTTCTAAATACAAAAAGAGTCCTAAACCTAATCTAGAAAGCAAGTAAATATAGTACTATTTAGAAAGGGATTTAAGGAATCCTTTCTAAATACAAATTAGTGTTTTCTCTTTAACTCTAAACAATTTAAAATAATGATGACCACAAATAATAAAGCTGATTTGGGCCTTGGATCTTGTGATTGGCCCAATTTGTACTCTTAATGGATCTTCATTATGTTGAGCCGCATCATCCTCCCCTTCTTGAAAAATGATTCGACCTCGAATCTTCTAGACATTGTCTTCGATCTGTGACATCACTTGAAACGGGCCACTTATAATATTTTCCTCTATCAAATGGAATTTTTATTGGGCTTTCTTGTTTCTTCCACCATTGATGCTTTAAGGATGTAGTTATGGGCCTTGTGATGAGCCCACTATTTACCCTTACTGGATTCCATGTGTACTGGTTCCTATTACCTAATGTCTTAGAGTCTTATCCTAAGGGCATTGTCCTAGGGTCGAACTTAGGCTCTGATACCAACTGTAACACCCCTGAATTTTGAGATATTTAAAACTTATAAAATAAAGGCGAATCTAACAATTAAATTCCAAACAGAGAATAAAGCTATCCATAAGTGTCGGGGTTCTATGCCACACCTAGGTTTGAGAACCTAGATGCACAGGCTAAACTAACCAAGCATAATTAATCCGCAAATCAATATTCAAATACAATCCAAGGCACGCAGACCAAGTAATGTGCTAAGGCTATTTAAGCTAAGTCCAAGGTTCTGACTAGCGCGCTCCGGAGCTAATGCTCATCACCTGAAAAACATTTGGTATAACAACCGTTAGCGAATAATGCTGGTAACCCACTCCAACGCGTTAAGTACAATATAGGTAGATATAAGAAACTCATTTTGAAATTGAAATACATATATACTTACGAGACTCTAATTCAAATCCAAGATCAAGACTCAAGGCACATTAACAGACTCAACAGTATAGAATCGTCATAAAGACTAACATGCAATCCCAGGAACGCAATAAGAGACATAACAGGCAGATAAGCATACAAATAACAATTAGAGCCAATGAAGACAATCAATTAGCAAGTAGTCATCAAAGCACACAATTCATCCTCCAACCTTATACCAAGTTCCAACCTTGTAACTCCCCTCCATCTTTATATCAGTTCCAACCTATACCTCCAGGCCACCCTTATATCCCCACCCCTTATTCTTCCGGGCAACTACATGCCCCCACCGACAAACCACCTATCAACCACCAACATATCAAGATGGTGACGCAGTGTCACATGATCCGCACCTCTAGTGCCAATATCAAGGAGTTAGCGCAAATTGCTCTAACATGACACCGCAGCACTTATAACCTGACCCATGCTCAACGGCAAGCAAGTCAAGGTGGGTTTGTGGCTTCAGCACAGTAACCGCTATGGCCTGTACCTTTAATACAATGACCGGGCACAAGTAATGCCAATCTCCAACAATTC